CATTTTAAATTGAAAAAAGCTGAATTTTGTTTGGGTAAGTTGCCACATGTGTCATAATGAATAATACAGTAACAAAATAGAATTCATCTTCAGTCTGGACTAAACATAAGAAGCCTTTTTCTTTCTAGAGAAACTGATATGTAAGGTCAGTTTCTATTAGTCATATTAATATGGGTTTCTGTGATTTTTTTTTCTTTTTTCTATAACCAGTATATAAAAAAATAGTTTGACTCCAACACAAAATAACTTACTCCCCACCCCCTACTCCAACGAGGAGTCGACAGTGAACGGAACAATGTCACAGAACTTGAGGCTAGCCTTAAAGTACAACATCAACTCATTAAAGGTGTAATTCCTCTGCTGTTAAAATCAGATTCAGTACACTTACTTCAGTATGATTTATTTTATTTTATCCTGGTATGTTCTTGTGCTTTTCCCAGCACTGATGCAGACCATGTTGCATCAACTTTTATCAGAATGCATCATCTCTAATACTTTTAGTCAACTCGCTCTCCATATAGCTCCTCATTCCTTACTCTTATTCCTCAGTGGCACCAAAATGGCACTATTAATCATGTAAAGACCGGATTGTTCCTATTTTTGTCCAAATGAGAGACACTTTTTTTAATATTAAAATGATCATCTGGGTTGTGTATTTACAGGGCCAGGCGTGTTTTAATTCAGATTTCTGATTTACACTACTACTCTCATCTGTGTGACTTGTCACTTATGACATGGAACGTTAAGGCTATGTTTTAACTCATAAAGTGGTTTCAGTGGTTGGGAGCTGCAAGCAAGCGATTAGTCTGACTGCAAATGAGCCTTAATGTACAACAGATTTCAAAGACAGGGAAGGGAAGCGGTTAACTAAAAGGGTAATTGTAAAGTTCTAAGTGTCCTCGAAACAAGTTGGGCAGAAATCTATAAAAAATTGTAACAGTAAGAGCATACAGTCAACTTGTTAGGCTAATAAGTAATAAAAACCAACAAAAAGATTGTCAAACAAGGTTTAAAAAGAAAAAAAAAGGGAAATATCACATCAAGTTGTCTCCTTTTTGGCCTTTTTTCCGCTCTTACAGTTTCATCCTGTGACTTGGTTTGACCTACATGGAAAGGTCATTCAGTCAGAGCTGGAATAGAATACAGCTACAGTTCAGTGAATCTGGAGTTGACAAGTAGCCTCGGGCATCCTAATGAGGTCTGAAGATTATATTAACATGTCAGATATAATCTCTAATATCTATTTTTTGAAAGAAAAAAAGTACATGAGTTCCTCTTCTTTCATAAGAGAAAAAGAAGTGAAGGTAACAGGTAAGTGCAACAAGTCTATGCTCGCCTCCTTTTCCCAGCTACATTAGGCGTGTCATAAGAGAATTACTCACACGGTCTCACAGTTGAGAAGAAAACGTTTGACCAGTTGCGATGTTGCCTGTGTTTTGGAAAAACACGTACAAGGAATTAAACAAAGCCGTTCACCTGATGTCAAACGGAAAACATGATCATTGTATATGTAAAATCAGGTCAGTTTAACAACTCTGCTGATCATTTGACCAGCTCCAACTTTGTGAATGTGCTCAGTTCGAATTGATTCTACTGACAATAAAAGATTGGGGGGGGAAACCCCCCCCAAAAAAACCCAAAAAACCCAAATGGGACGTGTGTACTTAACAGCTGACATCTGCCAAAACAAACTTTGTGATGTGACAAAGAGACGGCATAAAGAAACAAGGTCAACCTCCAATCAAATCCTCAGTGCTTCCTCAACCATTTTCAGCCTGTCATCAAAGGCACAAGAAGAAGAGAAAAAAAAAATCTTCCTCTTTCTCTCTGCTAAATTTCACCCATACCTCCTCCACCTATTATCTACCCTTTCAGGGCCAAGCACACAAGCTAACACGAGTAACTGAAGGCAGTTAAAGTCAACCGCTGTGAGGGCAGCGAGCCACTGCGTTGACAGGTCTGGTTAAACAGGTTCTGAGGGGAAAGGCTGATACTTGTTTAACTGCAAGGTAGTTGCTGCTGCTGCTTCCTTTATAACCTGTGGCTTGGTTTTTGGGAAATGTTCGTTTCACCCACTGACCCCAAAAGCTAATATAAAACATAAAGAGAAACACTGATGTCATATATGTTTGTGCATTTCAGTGCCGTTGTAATACCTTTCAATTCAGCTATATGTTCTATGTTGATTCATTTAAGTGTTACTCCTACGTATGAGGGGCCGTACAAGCCAAAATTCATTCTTTCAAGCTGCAACACTTGCACCTGCAAACTTAGTTTTACGTGCACTTAAAATAGTGGCACAAAAATAACGCCATAGATAGCTTGCTGAAGAACTTATAAAAGCACAATATTGCAATGTGTGTTTTAAATATGTGTAAACATGAGAATAAAAATATCCAAATATAAAAAAAATAAAACTATGTGAGAGTGAAAGTATATGTATGTGAAAGAAGAATATATGTATGTGAGAGTGAAAGAATGAATTTGTTTGTACGGCCCCTCATACCTACGTGAAACACAAACAGATGAACCTCTGAAATTAGCAAGGCCTGAACAGACAAGTGATGATGAAACAAGTAGACAGTTCTGCCTAACTTCCTTTTCTCTTAACTAAATTCTTTGCTGCAGCCACAAATTTGCATCTCATTATTCCCCAAGAAACTTGCAAGTAGGCTTAATGGCACACCTGCTCCAAACATATGTAAAGGAAATATTGGCAAGCTGCAGAGGATAGACGCTGAATGCTGAACGGTTAGTACAGTCGATCCAATAGTTGTCCAAGTTTAACATAAACAACCCATTTGTCCTCTCTAAGCTGCACTTCTTTGTTCATCACATGATGTACTTTTGAGGTCTGTGCTTTTACTGAGCAACACAGCTTATTTGTGAAGCCAATTGAGAGCACATAATGATGGCTACTGTTCTCATTAGTTTAGTAGGGGATTTTCTTTGCCGTTTATTAATAGGAAAGTTTTTCAACACATGACTTAACCATCATCTGTGTGATATTGCTGAAAAAGAGGCTACAGAACAAAAGTGCTATCCATTAAGAAAAAAAAAAAAAAAAAAAGTAAGTGTGTGGCCTAGGCAACATTACTGACTCACTAAATCAGGCTTGAGGCTGTCATTTATTTTTTTTCCTGAAACTTTAAAACAGCATTTTTTTTTTAAACATTTTCAAAAATGTATATCATCCCCACTTTCTAAAGTCTAGTTTATATTATAAAAAAAAAAAAAAAAACCCTAACTGATTTACAAAAGTTTAACACATCGTCATAAAAAGTTAAGCTATGCACCAAACTGATACCATTATTTACACAAGCCCATTAAATTACAACATAAATTAGAAAATATTTACATCCAGGACAAGACACTGGATAAAAATTCTATGCTTGGAATTTAATTTCTAAAAACATTTTTTAAAAGAAATATTTACATTTACGCACGCATTCTCACAACCAACACACAACCTGGCAGAAGTGGGCTTGTTGGTAGGTTAGTGTCAATTTGGATGTTGTTTTAATAACTTGTTCACAAAAAATTAATAAGTAAAAGCAAACAAACAAAAATTCTCACGACTATGTACTGTATGTGTTGTAAGACTGAGTAGCAATGGATCCATGGCAACGCCTGTAATCCACAAACACTGAGGAGGCTTCTGTCATAGCAAATTCAAAGTGCCCCTGTTATGCATTCTGGGATTTTATCTATCATGTAGTCTGTTAAATCATTTTTGCACATGAGAAAAAGGGTTTGCAAAGTCCACATCAAAGTGAGTTATTCTCTCCTGCAAAAACCAGTGCTGCTAAACTGCTTGAAATGCATAATTTGAAGTCCAGACTTTTCTTTTTGTCATTTACATCACTATGTAACATGGTGCCATAATGCACACCTAGCAGCTAGTTTGGCATGCCCTCAAAAAAAAAAAAAAAAAAAAAGCAGTCAACTAAAACCTAATGCAGCCACTAATACTGAGTGTTTCAGAGGGTGAAGAGATGTGCTGTAGCAGTATACAACCACAAAAATAAAATAATGAGCCTCTAAATTGGCATAATGGGGGCACTTTAAAGTTTTTGGTTTCTGAAAGAGCACAGGCTGAGATGAGAAAACCAACTGTCTTTTCTCATCTAGCTTCAAATCAACTCCCATGAACAAAAACACAATAACACTGGATCCATTCTGAATTAATGGTACAACTAAAGCACAAAAATAAAGAAAACTAAGATTTTCCATCACACATAACTGTCCTTTGCAAGTCAATTGAGACACAGGAAATAAGTGGATTTGCCCCCAGACTGAGCAGGAAGGAGAAAACTGAGAGGAATTCACAGCCACAGAAAGTCATCTTGAAATGATGTCCTCTAGGGAAGATGAGGGAGGGAAAAAAAAAAGAAAAAAAAAAAAGAGAAAGACAAGGGAGGTGGAAAAAAATAGTCGCAGAATGCATTTTGTTTCCCCCTCATCTTCAACAAAATACAGGCCCTGTGATTATAGCAGTAGGCCACTAGCAACTGTATGTAACTGCATAGTGGCTAGCATGATGCGGCATGTATTAATCCCCTTTTTAGGCATGTACTCCTTGCTAGGAATTTAACAGTATTTTATCGCATTACTTTGGTGTATGAATGTACACCCTGGTGACCTCTCTGGAAAAGTCATGGCTGTAGTTTCACTAGCTTATGACAAATAGCAACTGTGCTAAACAGCAATATGAACATAAATGTATACTTTTTTCCTTTTCTCCCCGACTTGCATGCATCACACAGACCCTGCTGTCCGTGGCAAATTTAGAGAGAACTGAATGCACAAACCTTACCAGTTCATAATGGCGGGACTTGTTGCCAAAAACACATCTTTTGCACGTGTGAAAAATAACATATGCCATGCTGCTCTCCTCTTACTGGTTTGTGTGAATGAAGGCAAGACAAACATTAATATAGAAGTGAACTATCACTAAATGACAATCCTGTTGCTTTAGCAGACAGAAGAAGCCACACATGCCATGTCTGAAAAGGGCTTTACTCTTTCACAGAGCGGGCTCCCATTAGGACAAATCCAGAGCATTCAACACACATGCCAACAGTAACTGATTTGTAGCCTGCTGTGACAGGCTGTTAAAAATCCCCAACCTGTCAAACTATAAATTTACAGTGTGAGCACACACATTCACACACAAATGCAGCTCTCAAAAAGACAATACCAAATATTGATTTTTAAAAAGGTCCAAAAGGGAAGTCAGGGCAGCAAGATTAAGGGACTCTGGGAATCTCAGGTTCATAGGGATTCTCCTTTAAGCTCTCATTTCCTGTGCTTGTCCATTTTGTCAGTAGATTTACTTCCACTGTCTGAGGATCCCTGGGTGTCGCTACCAGAGCTCAGGTACATCTTGTCCACTTGTTTGAGCGCTTCATTCAGGTAGTTCTGAAGCGAGGTCATGGCAGCACAGATGGCTGGAGAGCCAAAGCCATGAGTGATGAGACTGAAGTGAGTCAGGCAGCCTTGGATTCCAGGTTCCAGAATGGGAGCAGGCCTAGCGTTGCCCAAAGGTGAGCGGTCCTGAGTGAGCAGATCAGTAAACTCTTTGCAGATTTGCCTGTAGGTAGAGAAGCAGAATAACTAAGGATGTGAAATATGTACAGATTTGTGACCTAATTGGAAAATGGATAATACTTCAGATAATTTCGAAAATACAGCTTTCTATTGATCAAATACTTTAAAACCAGCGTTTGAAAAAGGTTGTCTTGCTACATCCCACTTTGCTAGGTGTTTAAATGCATGTAAATTAAAACAATGATTGAAAATACACTTACTTGGCAGCAAGGAGCATGTTCTTGCGCGAGTTAGCCTCATTCCGCTCCACATGTGGCCTACCCAGGTATTCAGCAATTGCCTTTGCAGGGAATTCGGTCTCACACACATAACCAAAGTCTCTTGCTAAATGAACAGCCTCACCTAAGACAGAAAAGAAAAAGATAATATTACATATAAGAAAAAAAAACAAAACAAAAACAGGTTTTCTGTAGATCCAAGAAAACACTCAAGTTGCAACTTTATTGCTAACCACAAATTAATACTTGTGAATAAATATATTACTAATACATATTAATATTAGTCTTTAGACAAATATTATAACAACATATCCTTCGACATACTAGATTGTTAAGCTGTTCAGGAGCAGAACAATTTACTAGTTTAAGAGCATTACATGAATAGTCCCATTTTCAAACAGATATACACAAGCATGAAGGCACAAGAAGTGAAGCAGCTGAACTGCAGAATAATCATCTGCAGTCATTCTTCTAACTCTAGGTAAGAAGAGCTATGCAGATTGATACATTTTTGTCTTCAGGGTGGCTCGACTTGCATGTTCATAAAGGGTTTATGTGAATAAATGCTACCAAAACGGGCCCCGAGATGCCAACAACACCGCTTATTGATAGACATGTACAAGTCTTCAAATGCTGGCAGCTATTCAGAAGCACAAGCTTTAAGGTCAGCTGGCCCTCCTGGCAAGCCGAACACAAGATAACAAGGCTTAATTCAGCTTTGAAGGTCTCTTAATAACACAGGCCTCCAGTCATCTTCCTGCACAGAATCATCACCCCATTTATAAAAATTCGGCATGTGGGGAGTGAGAGAGGGAAAAAAATAAAATAATATCTTTCTATAGCCAGCGGCAGGTAAATGTGATTAAAGTGATACTGGGATGATAGAATCAAATGTCACTGACTGAGGTATGACTGCAGTTGTCATTCAAACTATACAGCAACAGAAAACAGTCACAATAAAAATCAGGGCTATATGACCTGGTAGTATTCTTTCCATCAACAGGAACAATTAATTTTCCCTAACACAACTGAGTTTCAGAGGTGACTTTGCACACTAGGTAATACAAGACAACATGCTCAATGGAGTAACAGAATTAGTGCTGAGGTTTGTTGTTTCTTTTGAGTATTTCAGATGGAAAATGGTCATCTCAGTCTTTTATACACTATATGAGTTCAGTCAACCTAATTTTGGCTAAATTTTCCAAACCACTATGACTCACCAAATAATGTGTAGCTGACAGTCTGGCACATTAAACACAGGGGAAAAAAAAAAAGAAAAAAAAAAAGGTTGCAGTTACATTGCCTTTAGTTACCCTTTCCACAAGAAGTGAAACACACACATACCAATGCCAATACACTGACGTTCCCACATTCTCATACTACTAACGCGACATTCCAGCCACTGCAAACCGTAATTATAGTGCGAGAATTTACTGTGGGCAAATCACTGATGTGTCATACCTTCTACTAGCGAGGTAAGTAGAGTGACATTAGCTGCCTTCCTTCTTCCTGCAGGCAGGTTAAGCCCAATTTTGTCCAGCTTTTCTCTCAGAGAACGGCCTCCATTTTTTGACTTGGCTCTGTATAAAGAGAAAAAAGAAATTGAGGTCATTCACACATTGTCTTGACATTTTCATCAAATTATCAGTGGAGTTTTAAAAGATTATTGTGTCATTTATGACTATTTATTTTATCCCCCTTGAGACCATAAATTAAAAGAAATACCAAGAGTTACAAGATATGTACTGTACACCTGTGTAATACACATTCATGTGTATAGTCTCAAACACTTCTGAAAATAAATTACAAGAAGATTCTCTTGACCTAAAATAAAATATTGAAACAATTCATGTTCCACTCAAAAGCACAGCAGAGAGGTATAACTCATAAATGCATTTTCAGAAGCTCTTGAACTCTCCACTTGCCATAGCCAATTCAGTTTTCTGCATGACTGGCAGACAAGCTCTCCCCCTCAGTGGTCGGTGAGAAGGGGCGCATCTTTGGAGAGACATGTGTGTTTGAGTGCCCCCACCCCTTCTCCCTCTTGTCCCACTACTAACGATAGTCCTATTGCTGTGTGACCTACTTTTAAGAAAGAAGAAAAAAAAAAGAAAAAAAAAAAAAGAGATTGTATATGTGAGTCTGTGGGTGCATGTCAGCATTAATACAGGCACATGGGAAGTGGTAAACATGCACTCCGAGTATAAAATGCTCCAGTCAGGAGTGTTAACCATGTACTGTAACCTCGAAGTCCCTCAACAGACTGCTGCACTACCATGTGTGCCATAAGGTCAACTGCTCTGGCACAGTTTAACATTTGCAATCACGTACACAGGCACACAAACACAATAGGTAGGTACTAACAATGTTGACGCAACCTATCCCCAATGGAAGCACTGAACCCAAAATTGCACACAACACAAAGAATGTCACAAACCTTGCAAAAAATAAAGAAAAGAGGAAAAATGATGAGCCGGAGCAAAAGAGTCAAGCTGTGCTTTTAAAAAGAGCCTTTCCCATGGGCTACTAAGCTTTAGCCTACAGATCACTTGCTCCACACCTTCCACAGCTTAATGATGGTTTATTTTTGAGATAATAAAAGTCTTAACAGTTTGCAGAAACCAGAAATTTTGAACAACTGAAATCATTTTGGCTTAGTTAATCCTATTTTTTGTGAATCAATAGAAATGTATTCACATGTCATGTTAAAGATTTTTACGAACCACAAGGAAAAAGAATACTGTCTAGCTGTGACGTGGAATGAGACCGAGCCCTGACCTGCGTAGAACGCCTCCCAGGAGCGATGCGTTGAGGCATTCTGGGGGTGACAAACGTCTCTGGACTTCAGCCACAGTAACCTTGTACTTGGATGTAGAGCTCAGCAAGGAAAGACGGCCTGGTACGGAGCAAAACACCTCTGTGGGATTTGACACCATGCCCAGCAGGGACTCTTTCTGGAAGGGAAGACCCAGTGCGTTTCCTTTAGGCAGAGTGACAGGCCCTGGAGAGTGAGGAAAATAATGTTTGTAAGCTAAATACTAAAGTAGTGCAAAAGAACATAAAAACAGATTGTGGTTGGGCAGTCAGATTTGTTAATTACTGTCAATCTTTATTCCAGACTTATGGTCCATAAAAAATAAAAATAAATCAGACAAACCAATCTGTACGTTTCCTGTTTATGTGCATAAGCTCTGATCTTTCTGTGTCTTGTGCGGAAAAGCGAGCAGAAGTATGCGTATGCTGCTCTCCTCCAATGAGGAAAGCCAGTCTCTGCTGTGCCAAAATATACAAGAAAAAAAAACATCTAAAGCCTTTTGAAATGTGTGGTTTTGGAAAGATCGGATGCCTGATGGTTAAACAGCTATGATGCCCTCACGTCAAACACCATCCACAAACAGGTACGCACATACAGCCCGTCACTCATCTAAGCCACAACCTCGGAACCGTGAATTGATTGGTCTCACAGTCTTTGATCGAGCTAGACATTGTGATTTTTTTTTTAATGTCATCCCACAACAAAAGCACTGACAGACAAACAAAACAGTACAGCACACTACGAAACAAAACAGCTATCTTCATCCTCACCCGCGAAAATTCCCCCCTGATAATAAGTCCTCTGTAAGCGATCAAGGTTCCTGCCACCTCGAAGTCCTAATACTGAGACAGAAATGACAGAGTCACATCAGTGCTTTAAATCTCCTCTCCGGCAAATCACTGGGAATGACATGCCATTGTTTACAAGTGGAAACCCTAGATTGCCCATAGCGTGCCCTTGAGCCTGGGAACAGTATAATAAGCAATCACTGATTTACGTAACAAATGCAGACTGTTTGGTTTATTGCACTCTGCAAATGTCGTGCTGCTTGTTATGTACTGTAATATTGCAATATTACAAAGCAACCCTATAATTGCTAGCATGCTTTCAAAGAATAAAACTTTGGGACTGTACTGCAAAATATGACATTGTCAGCAAATCAAAAACATCAATTTTACTTTGATGTTTAACATACATATGAACAAGAAACTAAGGCGTGACGTTTACATTTTAAAATGAAACTTAACTGTACTTAAGCAAATTATATTTTCTACTTGTTCACTGTCCACATACTGTTCATAATAACATGATGTTCCTTGGGTTCATCTTTCACTTTAAGTCTGTTTAATAGAGCCCTGATGACAAAACAGCAGGAATAAGTTTCTCCCTCAAAACAGTTCAAGTCTCAACAAATTACTAAACTGTCCTTCACATGCAAGCCTAATGCCACACCCACCCAAAAGCTGGTTCTGCAGAGCCAAACACAGCTTCAAGACCAACTCATAATTTCCTGCTAACATGAACTGAAAAGAGCTGCAATTGCGAGCTTAACACGCCTAAAGATGATCCAAAGCTTTGGAACTCACAGTCAACACAGTTTGTGAGATTGCTCAATTTCCATGTCATGTCAGCTGTAGCCTGATGAATATGAAAGGGATCAGTTCTTTCCCACTGGGCATCCATTCAAGCACCTTCAACAGAATAGGCTAAGGATCACATCGGGCTTAAATAAGTGCATCGCATGGATTATCATTGTATGCAGTGTAAGTACAAACAGAAGACGCCTCCTTTCCTTACTCTCTCACTGAGTGCCCTGACATGCCACTATAGAAGTATGTCATTTCCAAGTATATAGAGTTCAACAAATGAAGGTCCAGCATTTTTTAGTAATTACCACATATTTTGCTGTACAAAAGCATTCCTCTTCAGTTTTCTTTTTTAATTGCTCTAACAGTTAAAAAGTCAAAATAAATAAAATGTCACAACTCACCTTTCTTGATGACCGTCTGATCTGCCATAATTATACTGTGGTCGTCTACTTGCTGATAACAAAGAAAAGAAGCAGCAGTAAGTAAACACATACATTGCTCTGTTTTGATAAGATGCTTGAGCTAGACTATTTTTTCCTAAGGTGGGTATTTTCTTGATATTAGTAATCATCGTCTGTCTCTTTCATGCAAAGCATATAATGTAATATGTTCCATTTTATAATAAAAATATTTTCTACTACCGCACCTTTAACTTGGAAGCATTTTGAATATATGTGACCTTTGGTTATATTAACATTTAGGAGATTTTAAATCTCCATATGGCAGGCGAGTGCAATAAAACACACTATAATGCATCCATTTACGACTTTTCAGTATATTCACTACTTCGACTGCATTCACACAAGCATTTAAGCACAAAGCCTCAGTCTTTGCGCGCCTCTGCCTCAAAAGTATAATGTCAAGTGATTATATAAATCTAATCCACTTACTTGAACATCATCCAGCCCGTGTCCCATGTCATGCATCCCCATATTATCGCCAATAACCGACGACTCTAGACTGTGAGCGTGTGGAGACAGCAGCTCCGGTCGGCGGAACCCTTCCCTCCTAACCCCTGACGAGCCTCCCTCCAAGCCTAGGATCTGACTCGCGAGTCCGCTCCTCCCGTGTGCGCCGAGCCCCTCCTGGCCTTGCCGCCCAGGCCACGGCTGCTGTTGGTTCGACGATGGCGACTGGTGTATGGAGTTGATGTTGAAAGGGTCCCCGAGGTGAGAGTAGGGGTCACTAGACTGCGGGTACGAGATAGGCTGGTAGGGAGGAGGAAAGTAAGGGGGCTGGAAGTCTGAACTGGCCGAGTGTGAGAGGGAAGTAGACGGGCTGTAGAGGTGTTGACTGACCGCCGGCAGGTGAGGCAGCCGTGGGTTCCCATTGCTGTTACTATCGTGCCTTTCCTAAGGAATGGAGGAGACAAAGCGGCTGAGAAAGATGCCAACAACATGGCAGGTTGTCACCCAAGGAGATAAAATGTCAGATTATTCGCTGGCACGATGTCTACTGAAAAATGGGATTTAGACGGGATAAAACAATAACGGAGACCGTTAATTTGGAATTTTTCTTAGTACTTAGTGGCTATTGCAAGAATATGCAAATATTCTCAGCAGCAATCAGCGTCTCAGATTATTATTATTATCATATTTTATTTTGTATATAGAGTAACAATAATAAGAACACGACCCCACTTTAATTTTATAAGGAATCATAGCCGGCTTTAACTCTGACAACGACATCCTGTTTTCACTGTTTCGCCAAACTTTACTCTAACTTTTCTCCCTTGGTGCAGCACATCATGCTGCTTCTAATGAGTCACCTTCCGAAATTTTACCGTGATTATTTCAACCCAAAGGATTAAAAGTCAGCACCCACTTCTTGCCGTTAAATTCGGTGCCACTGATCTCACTTAGTGGAGGCCATCTCTTACGAAACTCACCTCACAGTCATCCTCGTATTTTACGTTGTCGGCTAATTTCCACAACATTTTGGCTGAGGAAAAAGTCTCTTTCTTGCAAATTAAAAAAAAAAGTGTAAAAGAAAAAAAAAATGGGGGAGGGGGGGGAAAGAAGCCCGCGAGTTAATCCAGGTATGAAGAAATTAACAGCTTCCTGGTGGTCATGAACCCGCTTATTCTTCAGCTGCAGCAGGAGGCAAAGTTGTAGGCGAAGGCTGAAGGGCGAACTGACCTACCGACTGAGTATCCAACTACAGATATGAGTTTCCACAGCCACTATGAGAGAAAAATAATCGTTGTCAGGCAATATTCCCCCCCTTTCCTGCCAAGGCGCTCAGTACTTCTGTTGTGAAAGTGGGCGAAACCGGTTCATAAGAAACTTGACTCCCTCTTATGGACAAAACAGTGCTGTTCAGTGCAAACATGAGCATTTCACTATATCTGCACAGCCACTTACAGTGGGCGTCACCCTGTCCGATGATGTCAGTGAATTGGAAAAAAATAAAATAAAATAAAAAATCCTGATTGGCGGGGTGATTGTCCAATCAAAATTCGGTCCGTCTGTAGCGCGTCTTTGCACGGCGTCAAATATTAAAAGGATTAAACATCCCCAGTCTCTCTTTTTTTGACCTATTCCTCGTGTCTTGCAGCAAATGCTGCTTCTCATTAATATTTTTACTTCTTTTATCTCCTCGGGCCCATGGGTAGTTGAACCTTTAATTTTACAGGGCACTGTGTTCTGTTTAATGATTATATTCTTGGGCTTTAAAGCGATTCATTGGGCAGAGATCTGTTAGCCAGTCATCAAAGAAATGATTTCTTGAGTTTTATATATTTACAAAATTGCACTTTACTAAACTGCAGGACAATGTGCTCATGTAAAATATTACGACTACGAGACAGGACCTGTGAAAACGTTGCAGTTACTGCTGTACGTTAATGAGAGCTTCTTGACGAGACCTTGTACTGTAGTATACGCAGGCTTTACACAGTGTATTGCCTCTAGAGACCAATCACTTTGCTCGGTTTGAGCTGCTAATTTTAATAGCCTTCAGGAGAACGTCTTAATTTGAGGTAAAAACAAAAAAACAAAAGTTAACATTCGTGTTCTTAAAACCACCACCACTAAAAGTAAAACATTATTATTATTATTATTATTATTATTATTATTATTATTATTATTATTATTATTATTATTAGTGGTAGTAGTAGTAGCAGTAGTATGTAGGTCAATTATTATTGGCCTGCATACATACTACGCATAAATGCAGTGATAGGAAACTGAGCCAAGCTACTGTGTGTTTCCCTTTTATTCCTAAAACCTTGTGGTTATGCTTTGACCGACTGGATAATTTTATAATCTTAAAGATCACCTTTTTCCCACGACAAGGCGTACTTAGTTTGTATGCTTAATTCAGTAACAGGTATTCCAACAGGCCCGTGACATTTTGATGTTTTATATCAGTGGTACGTTTCAAACCGCAATAAGCCCAAGGGCTTAACCGCATTATTCTCTCAAAAAGCTCTAAAGCTCAAAGGATTTCGGCAAGCAGCCCTTTCTTAACTTCATTTAAATTTTTGTTGAGCTTTATAGTATCTCGGAAGGAGGGCTCTTTGAACTCTGGTTTTAATCAAAAGACAAGTAGAACAGACTTTGAGGGGGGAAATACATGATATAAAAATAACACCTGTTATCAGTTCTTCAAATCGTATTATGCCACCCCGAGGCTGCTCTAGTATTTTATCACTTTGTTTTGCATTATCAATTGATACGTAAACCAGTACGTGTCAGATTTTAATTTGTGAACTTAACGTGCGGAAATCCCGTGGCTTCTCTCCACCCAGCTGTGATAGTCCGCCCCTTTTTGTCCTCTTTGCCTTGTTGTCATGCCAAGCACAATTTATTTATTTATTTTTTTAAATGCCCTATTTAAAATGTTGTTCTGTGTTGAAACAGGCACAGGACGGACCTAAGAAAGTTAGTCACGCTTGGCCGACCGGTAAGGTTTTGAAAAATCCTGATGCTCAGCCTGTCATTTTAATGACAGCCGACTCAGCTGATGTCACGTGTGAAGACAAAATGGATCCGTGCCCGGACACATTCAAAGTGTCACAGAAGCCAATGACTGAGCTCTGCCTAGTGATCTGCCCGATTGCTTTGATCCCAGACTTAAGAAATATAGTTCAAAGCTGGTTTATGAACTGATTTTAACACCCAAAATTTGCATTGTATTGATAGGGCTACTAACTAAGTGAGTAAACTACTAAGTGAACAACCCTAATCACAGTAATATTGAAGTTGCTCCAATATGTGTTCGTAACTGAAGAAAAGAAAAAAAAAGGAAAAAGAAATAAACATATATATATATATAAACTTTACTGGGCGGAAAATCTACTCTTGTAATCCCCCGCCCAAAAAAATTTCAATTTAAAATTTATAACTTAAACTGTTTGCAGAAACTATTGAAGAGGTGGGAAAAGTACCCTATCAGCAATTTTACTGAAAAATCATTTCATCCTTTATTTCAGTTTTAACCATCAGCAGCTCCACTGGTTTGTAATCCAGTAGCCTCAAGCGAAAATACTCAAAGTTTCTGATGAGTTAAACCTTGTTATTATTGGCATTAATCACAGGTTATTCAAAAAGCGCATATAGCGCCGTGCGACTTTAAGCTGGGGATAAAAACGAATTTGTAACTGCCCTTTTCCGCAGCAACCATTTTGACGTGAAGCAGTGTACAACCACAGCCGCTACTAATGACATTAATGAAGATTTTGTAATTAGTAACACCTGTAGTTACTTACCACGTCGTGTCCAAATAGCTGCTGTAAAGGTTTAGGCTATATAAGGAGGGACTCAGTCTTAAGGTTAACGAGAGCGCACGTTTGCACAATGCAAACGTATTAAATTAGACAATAAATATATTTATGAGTAGATCTATGATTGCTATAATTTGACTTAATATAGCCTAAACTAGGGTTACGTTTTTATTCTACTCTGAACAAGACTGTTTTTAAAGTGATCAGTGTAAGAAAGACCCTCCGTAAGTTTACTTTTCTGTTAGTCTTCCACTGATGTAGATATTAAACGAATAAGTTAAGTCTTTTAATAAGTGCATTAGAATTATAAGTTTACATTTTACATTAGCCTTTTCATATGCTTGGATATTATTGATGCCGTAGTTCACTCAAACATGGTGCAATTTAAATTCCTTCTATATTCAGGTTATTTTAACTGGAAGCTACTAGTTAAATCAGCGAAGGTTAAAAGATAATCCACAGGCCTCCGTCCTGTTCAAGCAGGATGTCAACCAATTTGCATTAGTTTTTCACCCTTATTGCTCACTCCGTGGCCTCTCGCACGCAACAATCTCCCAATGCCTGCGCCTTCTGACAGGGACCTGATCTTCAAGGTGGTTTTTGACAAAACAGGGAGCTGATCTGCAAGGTGACTTTTACGGGAAACCCTGTGAAGTTTGTGATATTTGAAAGTTGCCATTTTATACCCTACAGCTGTAATTAGTCAGGCTTGTTAAATTTAATGACAGAGGTGGAAGTGCATGAATTCATTGTTCAAATTTTTAAGAGTGTGGCTGTAAAAACGGACTCTAAACTAACCTATATTAAGATGAAGTGAGGCTGATCGTCTACCGAGCTCTGTGAGGAGTGTGTCGGGCCTGAACAGTGTTGAAACAGGCCCGAACAGCACCAGCCCAATTTAACTCCTTGTTATGGTGGGAAGTAATAAAACAAAAGCGATAAACACGATACAGGCTTGGTCAAATTAGATCATCTGTAAGAGGAAAATACAGGAGGCAGCCAACTCACCCTCCAGTCTATCCTCTCCAGTACAGACATCTGCAAGGCTCCAGTCGCAGTAATCCCGCTGAGCTGCAGCGAATGAGTGATACCATGAGTTTTACATTGCCGACTTCACCTGACTGCAACGCAGGACGCATGCGCACTCTAATGAACTGCACCTGAGTGGACAAATCAAAATTTATTGCCAAACCGTTTATTGAAATTTGCATATACGGTTTGTGTAAAACAACGTGTACATTAATTTATTAATATGAGGAAAGCTGGTACGAAAGACTAAAAAAAAAAAACACTGAGGAAAACAAACATGATGCACAGAATTAGACTTATAACCGAGACAGTACTACAGTTAAACTTATCATTGTATTCTAGTTTTGAGTGTAAAAAAATAAATAAAAATAAAGTTACGGAGGATAAAATTAATGAATACGTGGAAAAAAAGAAGTATGGAAAATTCAAGATAAGGCAATTCCAGCCCAGCCCTAAAGCCACAGCGCCTCGGGGTGACCACAAGAATCTGCTTTCAAAAGCCACTGAAGCTTTTTAAGGTGTATAGTCCCTGTTATCTGATCTCCAGAAGATTTCAGCTTAAACTATTGAACAGATCAAAGTGTCTTTGCTGTGTTGTTAAGAATGCAGCTGATATATCTTGATCTGGGGAGGGGGGGAGACGTCTACCTGTGGTCTGACACCTGTTTAATCGATTTTTAAAAAATGGTGGAATGACACATTTTCCCCCAGATTAATTTAATTCCAACAATAAGACCTTAATTTAAAACCGTGTGCTACTGTTAAAAAATAAAGATCTTCTAATATATAAATTTTGTTGTTACGTTCTTGAGTAAAACAAAAATTAAGGGTGGAGGGGGAAAAAATCTACAATTTAGCAAATCTGACGTTATGTGTTGGTGAAATAATTCAAACCAATATAATCAAACAATAAATTGTTCCGTGTAGTTGGTATTTATTATATCTTTCCAAAAAACCACAACAAAACACCAATTTAGTTTTATTATAGTCCCCCATGACCACTAAAGAGGCCTAAATAATAAATATAATTTTTTTTCATTCGCAAGTCTTTATTATAACTATCAACTAAATTAAAATGCTTGTTTCCTAATCAGTGTTGAATGCTTTGTTTGATAAAATGCTGCACTAAGTGATCCAAACGTGAAAGAAAGAAAACAGCAGACTACCAGGAAAATCTCTGGATGGAAACAGTTCTGTTATTCTAAAGTTTTAGCCACCATAATTTGATCATTTGTGGTGTAACGAGAAGCAGGCTTTGTACACCCTTTGTATGCTGTTTTCTTTACGCCGAGTATAAAATCTCGGCGCGGTACTTGCGCCTGTGCTGTCACCTAGGGGCCGCATCTTTTCATTACCACAGGACTGCAGTAGTAGCCTGTTTTGTAGTGGCTGTGGAGTAAGTAGCTACTCTGGGTGGACCTATTCGGAGATCAGCTCAACATATTACATCTATGGTACTTAATTTTCAGTTATTTAAGTTATTTAGGTATTTACATTACATGCC